CACTTTTATAGAGATCTAAAAGATTCCCCATACTTTATGATTTTGGAAGATGGGGCCGAATAAAAACAAATAACTTCTTGGATTTGGAGAACTAAAGAAGATACCTCGAAAGTCGTACAGAGTGCATCAAGGGACACTCTAGTGAAGGTAGTAGGCAAAGGCATTTCCATCAAAACAAAACTCACAGAGAGAGAAGGATTTTAGAGAAGGACACATTAAGTTCTCCCAAAACATAGAATGAAAACTCAAATAATCCTAACGGAACTCTCCCTGGGAATGCTGTTCATAAAAATTTTACATTCACTATGTTTTTGAATGAATATGTATACTCCATAATCGATTTGTGAGCTATTTTGCGAAACGCGCAATTGAAATAGATAATACAATAATGTATAGCCTCTACCACACAGGTTCCTGCTCGTCGGCCCACCTCTCCTTCGGCTTCCACGGCTTAAAAAGTGCGATCATGACGGAAGACGAAGGCATGCACTGGTTGCGAATGAAAATGGTCACAAATACGGGTCAATGAGTTATGCGCTGTTGTTTCGATTTGACTGTGGCGCGGTTCAAGATCTTAGCCAACGATAATGTGGTTTTAGATTAGACGACTTTGATGAAATACATAGATGTGAGGACGAAAAGTATCAGGAAAGAAACACCCGTGCACACACGCTAAACTGAATACAGTACAAGGAAAAGGATAGAGCTTTATGACTGAACAGATGGTTAAACATGACGTCTGTTTGAAAACCCGTCCTGAAACGGAAGGGGGAATGGATTTAATGGAATAGTAGCATGTGATCAATTTTTGTGTATTATTCATAGTTGTTAGCACGTTTCTCTGTTACGAAATTACATAGAGCAACACTAATCATCTGACTGCCAAAAAACTTCGTCTCAAAATACTTTAATTGCTCTGTTTGTACAACAAACAATCTAGATTTCACTTGTTCCGTAACGGACTGTTTCACGAGCACACGCAGCGGATTAATAATAACGCGCTATTTGTTATTTGCATTTCGAATCAAACACAACACCCAGTATATGGAGTATTGACGTTTTCCATTCAATTCTCGACTTTGCGTGGGAGAAACCTACAAAGCATACCGTGATTTCCGAGAGCGCATACAATCTCCAAAAGAGAACTCCTCATGACAAGCTATGGTTATTTTACGGCTTTTTGCGAATTACTATCGGCGCTAAGAG